CTTAGATCCGTACAGGCTGGAGAGCAGGAAGATCTTGGCGACGATCAAGCAATGTCTACCCGCTGCTCCGGTGCAGAGGGTCGAGAAGGCTAGCATCGATGAGGTGTTCTTGGATTTGTCGGCTCAGGTGCATGGGATGCTGCTCGAGAGGTATCCGGAATTGAATGGACCCGCGCCATACGACGATCCGACGGAGCAACTACCGAGACCACCAACAACGGCGCTGGACTGGACAACCGATGCGTTGATTGATTTGGATGAACAGGAGACAGAAGATGACGACCCGGACTGGGACGATATCGTCATGCTCGTTGCGTCGGAGATCGTGCGAGATGTACGAGCGAAGATTTTCGAAGAGCTGAAGTACACATGCTCGGCTGGTATTTCGAGGAACAAGATGTTGGCAAAGCTGGGATCTGGACACAAGAAGCCCAATCAGCAGACAGTCATACGCAATCGAGCCGTCCAACAGTTCTTGAGTGGATTCAAGTTTACCAAGATCAGGAACCTTGGTGGCAAGTTGGGCGACGAGGCGGTTGCTGCATTCAACACGGACACCGTCAAGGATCTCTTGGAAGTGTCTATAGAGCAGCTGAAGAAGCACATGGGCGATGACACGGGGTCCTGGTTATACAACATCATCCGTGGCGAAGACCACAGCGAAGTGAATCCCCGAACACAGATCAAGTCTATGCTAAGCGCGAAATCTTTCCGACCCTCCATAAACAGTTTCGACATCGCAGTCAAGTGGATCCGCATCTTTGTTGCAGACATTTTCTCCCGCCTGGTTGAAGAAGGCGTGCTCGAGAACAAAAGACGGCCGAAAACAATCAACCTGCATCACAGGCAAGGCGCGCAAACGAAAAGCAAGCAAGCACCCATATCCATGGGCAGAGCAATCAACGAGGACATGCTCTTTGACCTTGCGAAGAACTTGTTGGCGCAGGTAGTAGCCGATGGGCGTGCCTGGCCGTGTGCAATGGTTTCGCTTAGCGTGGGTGGCTTCGAAGACGGCATCACCGGCAACAAAGGCATCGGAGGCTTCCTCGTGCGCGGCGAGGAGGCGAAGGCTATGAACGCTGTCATCAAAGACACCGCCGACAGCGATAGGATACAGACGCCGCCACCCAGCAAAAGGAGAAAGGTGGACACCGAAGGTGGGATTCAGCGATTCTTCGGTCTGCGCCAGGAGAGTACCGAAGGCAGCAGCGTGGAAAAACTGGAGGAAGCGGAACCCGACCCTCCGGCGGCACCGCATGCACTGCCTGCACCTCAGATCAACGCGTTCGAGCCCCCGCCCTCGGCGCAGGGAGCTTCATTAGATGAGTCGCACGCCCAGGCAAACGTCTCTCGTCCCCAATCCTCCGAACCAGAAGGTTCCGAACAGGCACAAGTTCAAGCTCCAGACCGCCTACCAAGTCATACCAACGCACAGCATCAGACATCAATCGAGCAATTCTTCTGTAGCAGATGCAACAAATCTCTGCCCCTGGAAGAAAAGGTGGAACACGATGACTGGCACTTCGCTAAAGACTTGCAATCGGAGGAGAGGGCTGCCCCGACATCGGCATCAGCTCCACGACCTCCTAAACCCCCACGCACCATAAAGGCAGAGGGCGCGGCAGGCCGCCCAAGGATGCGTTGGGAAGGGCTGAAAAGGGCCAGAAGAGGTTGGCTTTTGAGTAAAGCATCTGTAGATGGTATGTTCTTTCAACATTCTATCATCCCTACTCACCCACATGCCCTCCATTATGCCATTCTCTTCCTGAGGACCACCGCGACTGAACGTGGTGGTGTAAGCTGTCCTGCATTTAAGGCGGCAGCAAGCCTCGAACAAACAGTAAGTGCAAAGACAGGACGATTGAGGACCAAGATGTGGCTTGGAAGCGTGTATTTTGAGAATGCTATGTAATATCCGGGTATCTCTAGAATCAAAGGTAGGTCCCCAGCTCATTACAATCGTCTCCAGCCACATCCATCACTGCGTTGCATAATTCATCATCCAAATGACAAGAACTCGTCAGCAGTATTTGCACAACCCAACCCCAAAGATGCAAAAACGCCCACATAACAAACCATAGCTCATGTACTTCTCCCCATCATGCGGACATGTTCCCATAGACACACAAAAGCAACAACCAGCTTTCAGTCTTAACGTCACAACCTGCACTTCTTCCTCCCCAGCCTTTCGTCTTCACTCTCGATTTCCCCACCTCTTCCAATACGGTCCACAGCTCCTCACTGGGTTCGCGCCACGAATGGCGCTTTCCACTCAAGGTGCGACTCGTGCTTCGCGCCCTCGGTCTCTTCAGAGGCAGCTTCATCCCCTTTCCGAACGCGAGTCTGCGTCTTTGGCTCTCGAGGCCAGCATCCCTCACGCGATCCGCGTCCCAGCCGTCGGTGAAGTCGGACAGCGAGAGCAGCGCCTGCGGTTGCGGAGGCGAGAGAGACACCGGCGTCTGGTAACCCTCTTCGTCGGACTCGAGGAGGTCGGGAAGGGAGTCCTCAGATGGCGGTGTGCGTGGTGGCGATTGCAGGTGCTGATGTTGGCGCGAGATGAAGGTTTCCCACCGATCTGCGAGGCGGGACTGGAATTTTGCCTTCTTGCTGGCGTGAGAGACGGGCATGTGAGGGACGATGCCGGCCGTGTAGGACCAGTCGTCGAAGGGGTCTTCGTCGTCGAGGACGGGGAGAGGAAGTGAGAGAAAGGGTCCTCGTCGATGTCGGGTGGTGGTGATGTTGTTGTTCGTTCGTGTGCTTCCCTTGGTCGAGCGACGGGATTGCTGGATAGTGGTCCCGGATGGCTGGACAGCGCCGCCGAGATGAGGTGTGGAGATGGCGGCCAGGTAAGATGACGATCGTGGTGAGGTCGACAGGACATAGCGATGTCTACTCGGAATGCAGCCGAGTGTGGGTCGAGAGGGATTGATAAGAGTAGAGCTGCTGTGCTCGATGTTGCTGTAGCGACAGACTACTGGTGGCAAACAGTTGGAATGATATGTAGGGACTGTCAGAGCAGATCAGACCCGGCTCGACGGCCGGTCAACCCAGTTTATAGAGAGCGGTAGCGCTACGATATCAGGAAACGGGAAACGACAGGGCGCCCGGCGGTTGCGGCTCCAAACGCGATGCGGCTCAAAAGTCTAAACGGTTAGTGGCAAGAGCGGTTTCGTACTTCTTCACCGCTTCTTGCAATGCATCGACAGACTGGCGCGCGGGGTCTGGCCGTCCTTTTGTAACAGTCCCTCGAGATCTGCCTTGGACTCGCTTTTCCCGCATGTGATGGGACGCTCGGACGGCGGCGGGGCGTGACCACGGCGGACGCGGCGGCCTCGTCAGGTCGTGAGTGTGAGTCTGAATGTGGGTGGAACAGTCATACGAATCTGTGTCAAATGGAAACAAGACAACAATGAGAGAGTCATCCACCTGCCTTGCGATTGTGTAGCACCTTGAACATCCCTGCTATACTCTCGTATGATGATCTCAGAGCATCGTCAGCCATTTCAGTCGGGTGGGTATAATGGGGGTCGAGGAGCTGCTAAAGATGTGGCTTGGGCATCTCACTGCAAAACATCGTGCGTCTTGTGGTGGAGGGCCGCCAAATCGGAGCATTCGCCTCCAGATTTGACCGACGGTAGCGCCCTGCAGCGATTCAGACAAGGACGTTTTCGGTACACTCGTTGGGATGCTTGCGCTCGTGACTCGAGCTGTCGGTGCGCTAGTGGCGCGTGGACAGGGCGAAGGTGGTGTGCTGCCTTGATCCTGACCCTGACCGCTTCCGCGCAGAAACAACCATCAGATGGGCACACCCGCGATATCCTGGAGCCGTTCGCATGCGAATCTGCCGGATCTCGCTCCTGAAAAGGGTCTGATACACTAACAAAATGCACCACGGTGGGAGGCATCTCCGTCAGCGGGGAGGAATAATCCAAACATCAAGAGGGAGGGTGTTGACTCGCTGACATGATGGATTTTCGAGAGGGTGTGCTGCTCCTGCTGCCCAACGGAGATTTCCTTGAGCCGCATCGCTTTCGCGGTCGCGTTCGCATTCGCGCTCGCGTCGCTTGTCGCATCCCACATCCGTCACGCCGATCCGTTCCGAACGTACGTCCGTCTAGGCGCTTACCCTGCTGCACCTGCCCTGCATGCTGCGCCTGCCATGCAATTATGCAACTCTGCCCCTCAAAACAATCCTCCAGTTTCTTATCACAGGATCTGGACCACCTTCCAACGCCTAACCAAAAGCACCTATCGCCAAGTCGCTCTCCAATGACTATTGCCTGCATGAAGGCTACTGCGACTTCTAATAAGGCTTCTGCACACTTACTGCGACCGACGGGAACCCGACGCGACGGACCGCTTTGACAGCTCGCGCCCGCTCATGACATGCATACAGTCAGGGTCTGGTCTTGCCCACCAGATCACTCTACACCACCCACGATCACGATAGACATGGCCTGGTACCGTTAGCCTCGTACCCCAGACGCAGGACACGGTCGCTTGCAACGACCCTAACGGGACTATGGACCTTGTGCGCTACTGACATGTTACAGCGTCGGCTGCATGGACGGTCGTTTCAAAACCGCCAATCAAAACAACTGGCTGGTTGTTGTAGCAAGGCGCGCAGAACAGTCTCGACGGGGAACTTGGGGTCGAGGCGTCGGTGTAACCAGGCCACCGGCCACCCCTCTTGTTCCTCAGGCTGACCCCTCTTTCCCTGTCTGTAGGAGGCAGAGCTCTGGTACGTACTGCGTGGAGATCTATCATACTCGCCTCTTTGTCGGCCACCTCGCCTATTCTATTGACTTGTAAGGACACCCGCCGCGAAAACAGCTTGCGCTTCTGAGATGCCGTCAGCAAGTGTGTCTAAAGGTAACAAATACCTCTACGGGTAGGAGGACGTCGTAGGGTCTAAGCCAGGTTCCAACTATCTTCCGTGCTTCTGCACCGTGATTGTTACATTTGATTTTATCTCTAAGTGTGGCCTACCAGCAAGCGTAGGCGTGGTAGCAAAGTGGTTACTGCGATTGACTCGAATCCTTCATTCAGGGAAGTCCGATATCAATTCTCCTCGGAGGCGTAGGTTCGAATCCTGCCCACGTCGCTTGCCCTTTTGCGGCGCTTTCTACCATCTAGTCTGTTTCCATGACCCGGCTCACCGCTCACCGCTGTTTTTGCCTGCTACCACGCTTTTGCTAGGGCTCGGTGTTTCGCAACAACACCGGCTCTCACATTTTTGAGCGCTCCCTTAGCGTTGTTCCAACACGCGCCGGGGCTCGACCTCCGGTGGAAACTCAAATAGTTCCCCACGAAACTGCGGTGAATGATGGACCGGCCCGATACGCTCTGGGTTGTCAAGTGAAGACCGCTAATGTACCATTGTCTTCGAGCTCTGCTCTAGGCTTTACCACTACTACTAACTACTACAGGCCCCTACTATGTTCGGGAAGCAACTTCCGCGAATAGGCCTTACAGTAGCTTCATGCACATGCATGCACATTCTCTCTCAATCATCAATCGTAGCCGACAAGGACTCGACCTCTACGGGCTGGAGTACTTGTAGTTGTACTGCTCCTTCGCCTCGTTTCCAATCTTCTTCAGCTTGTCCTCCTGCTCTTTGAACTCCGGTTCCGTCTGCAGCCTTTCTTTGTACGGTCCGTTCGTGATCTTGCTCTCACTCGGGATCGCAGTTCCCTTCTTGACGGCATCGCGTTCACTGATGCGTTTCCACCACTTGTTCAGGTTGGGAAATTGCTCCAAGTCCACGCCAGCGAAGTATGCAACATTGACCCAGCTAAAGTTGGCGATATCAGCGATGCTGTATTTGTTGCCGACAAGGTAGTCCTTGTCCTTCAGCTGGTTGTCGAGGATGCCGTAGAGACGCTCGGTCTCACCCACGTAGCGCTGGGTTGGGTACGGGATGCGCTCCTTGGCGAGACGGTAGAAATGGTTGGCTTGGCCTTGCATTGGGCCCAAGCCTCCATGCTGCCATGCTGGTGAAATGTTAGATTCTTGCACTGCTGGATAAGCGGGATCCGTGTTTCCGTAACTTACCGACCCATTGCTCACAGTAGGAGAGATCGGGGTCCTCGGTGAAGGAGAAGCGATGTTCTGGATCATAGTGACGGGTAAGGTAAGACAGGATTGCTGCGATACAGCATTAGGATCAGGTCACCTGCTGGCAGGATGCGCATGCAGCGTTTTCATCCAACTTACCAGCACCCTCCATAATAGCCAGTCCTCCCTTGTCGTGGTCCACTACCACTGGTATCCTTCCGTTAGGGCCAAGTTTTGTGAACCATGGCTCTTTTTGGATGTTCTCCATAATGCTGATGCTCTGATAGACATAATCCTTGCCGTACGCAGCCTTCAGTTCCTCCAGCAGGATGGTCGCTTTGTGGCCGTTCGGTGTGCCGAAAGTAAGGACTTCAAGGCCCTTGTTGGCAATCAATCCAGAGGGGCGCGACATTGCTGCGGTTTCCAACGGCTGTGTTGATGCTTTGGAGATGGACTCGGGTATTACATTGATCAAGTGTCGTGAGGTTTGGTAGAGACGATTGACGGGGTTTTAAACATGAAGAGGATGAGGAAGATTGCAAGAAGACGGAAGACGGGACGCATGCAATATGTCGACTTATAAACTACCTATCACTCACACATGAACTGAAGCTCAACCTGTATCCGGTGATGCAATGGATTTGGTCCCTGATGCGCGATTACCAAGCATTCGAGCTTTAGTCAACTCTTCCCCACAGTTTGACCCCTCACCCGCCCGATTCGGTCAACGGGGCTCCGGGAGCTTAATCAGCCAACGAACACGTGAAACGCGACATCGACCCCGACCTGACACATCAACATCACCGCCTCCTGTGAATAGAGTAGGGTCACAGTAGCTGTTTCTACGACAAAGCCTTCCTCGCTACGGCGGTTGGGTGACTAACCAATGGAAGAATCTCAAGGAAGTACCAAATGGGAGCAACATCTCATCAATCTCATGTCAATTATTCTAGGGTATTGACAGAACGGTTCGCATCCCCGGACAGGCAGCAGATACCCGTTATGGAATGCGTTGTAGTGGAAATGTAGGTCTGATGGAGGGAGCAGCAGCTATGGCAACCTCATCGGTAATTCTGCTAACTTTGAAGTCCAATATACACATCTTCTGTTCTTCATATGGTCCCTCTCTCTTCTCTCCTGTCTGTTCAGGTTTCTGTCACGTATACTGCTTGTTTTGGAGCCGACTGCAGCCGACGTCTGCACAGCATGCCTCAATCATGTTCTATACCTTGCGATTCACACCTGGTGATCTCTGCAACTCGTGTGTTGCTGGCAGCGCGTGATATCGCCACCGTGATCACATACTTATACACGTCGCTTCTCTTCGAGTCCGATCATGTCCTCTACAATATCAACCAAACAACAGCGGTGTGGCAGTGCGATTCGATTCCCTGAGTATACACATGTATGGCAGAATCAACTCTACCAGACGGCCCCGTACCACGGTACCTACAGAGGCTCCACTCGGCTGCCCAAGAGTTTGGCCCTCGGGCACACTATCCAACGAATGACAGCTTCCTCGCTGTGGGCAAAGGAGAGGAATCGTCAATCTGTCCCAGTGACAGCATTACGCACATATTACCGAAAAGACAGAATTCCTACAGCGCCAAGCCTCTGCCCCCTTACCCGCCCTCAAATGCTTCAGCAATAAGCCTCGTCGGGACCTCGCCGATTGCCGAAGGTCCGTTGGAAATGCAGTCTTCCGGGAACGGGGCATCAAGATTGCTGTATTCCGGAAGCCCGCACAACATGCTGAGCCCATTTGATAGACCCCGGAGTTTAAGAATGGCTTCAGTCAACGAGCAACAGAGCGCCAGCACCGTCGCCAGCACTGTCATAGCACCTCCCTCGCCTCTCAAGGTTCATAAGGCCGGCTACGGGGTTGGTCCTGAACCATCAAAACCTACGGGCGGCTTAAACATTAGCGATAAACCGCTTTTCCCACCACGGACCAGCTCATCGTCCACTGTTCCCGACCTTGTAAAACCGACAGGATCAGTTTTCCCACCGGAAGACGCTCTGCCACCGAGGCCCGAGAAGGCCCGTCGCGCATCTAGGGTATTCCACTCTTCTATGCATCAGCTGAAGCGCATGTCCCTGACGCCAGCGGACATGCTGTATCCTACAGCCAACATCTATCGGACAGGTTCCAACCGGAAAGCCGAGCGCATGTTGGGTCTCTCGGAGCGTCAATCGCCCACCATACCTGCGCCACCGACCGAACTTTCCAGTTTGTCATCTTATGTTGTCAAACCGGGTCCTGTTCTTCCACAACACCATATCGCCACCGCCATTCGACCGCCATCTGACCCGCTTAATGGTCGCATCGCCTGGTTCCATGCGCTTACTTCCTTTCTCGTCGTCTTCAACTGCTGGGGCCTCAACACTTCTTTCGGCTTGTTCCAATCCTACTACTCGCACACGATCCTCGCCAATACTTCACCCTCTTATATCGCTTGGATTGGCAGCACGCAGCTCGCACTCGTCTTCCTCCTCGGTGTGCCCATTGGCCGTGCCGTCGACGCTGGCTACTTCCGTCCCTTCTTCCATGGCGGCAGTGTCCTGCTAGTCCTAGGCACGTTCCTGACCGCGCAATGCCGTGCCTTGTGGAGCCTGTGGCTCGTACAGGGACTAGTGACGGGTCTAGGAATGGGCTGTATTTTCTGCAGCGGCGTGGTCGTGTTGATGGGCTGGTTTGATGAGAGGAAGCTGGGCATCGCCATGGGCTTTGCCGCAGCCGGCAGTTGCCTGGGGGCAATTGTGTACACTGTTATGGCGGAGAAGTTGCTGGTACGCAAGGGCTTCGAGACGACAATGAGAGCCATGGGCGCCGTGAGCGCTGTGACCATGCTACCCCTAATCTGGTGTTCAGGATGCGCAGGACCGGTCAAAAGAGTGCAGCGAAGAGCAAGAGTACGGAAAAGCTCTTTGACTGGAGACTATTTGCGAACACAAGCTACCTGCTTGTAGCGGCTGGCATGTTCTTCGCATTTCTGGGTGTATATTTCGGCACCGTCTATGTAAAAAAAACCAATAAACCCCATGACTATGCTACAGTCTGTCCTCCATTATCGGCACCACTAACCTAAACTTCAGATGGTCTCATACGGCACCGACGTACTGCACCTCTCCCAATCCGCATCCGTCAACCTCCTCATCTTCATGTCTGCCGCCAACCTGCCCGGCCGTTTCCTCCCGCACTAATCTCCGACCGCTGCATCGGGCCACTCAACACCATCATTCCGTCCGCCTTCCTCTCGTCCGCCACGATCTGGCTCTGGGCAGCGTCCGAGACCACACACTCCAGCCTCATCGTCATAGCCTGCTTCTACGGTTTCGTGAGCGCGGGTATCCAGGTCCTGTATACGCCCACCGTGTACAGTTTCTGTCTGCAACAGAGAGATGGAGGGCTGGTGGATCGAGAAGGGTTGGAGAAGATGGGCGTCAAGGCGGGTGGCGTTTTCACTGCCATCGGTGTCGCATGCCTTGTTGGGACTCCGATCGGTGGTGCGTTGATCAGGTATCGTGAGGAAAAGGGTATGGGGAAGCCGTACCTGGGCGCCCAGATCTTCGCGGCTTCTTGCTTGCTTGTGGCGGGCATGTTTCTACTTGCGAGTCGTGTGGCAAGAGCTGGCTGGGCAGCAACGAGAGCTTGAGCGTTGGTAGGGTTCTGGATGGTCAGACTGCTCAACGAAGAACGGTGTTGTGTTTTGTGCATATACTTTACCAGTATACATATGATCGGCTTATCTACAATCGCAGTCCTATCTCACACCTCGGGCACGCTCGAGATCAGACGGTCGATACTTTGAAAAGGATGTTCTTTTACTAGTAGATTTATTTCCTTTCGTAATGAGTTCCAAGAACCGCTTTTGCACCAAACCGCCCACGGGGTATATATCCTTCCTCGCAAAATCGGCCGTGACCAAAGAAAAACAAGTCGGAAAAACCCGAACCGAACGCAACGAAGAAAGAAACCAAACGAATCTAACCCAAAAGGGGCACCCGAAACACCTTGCGCCCCAGACGATCCAAGCAAACTCAAGC